TCTGTTGGCCTCAGTTACTTGACGGCCGCATTCAGTGAGCTTGCAGCATGGTGTTCTGCTAGTAATTCATCGGACCACCTTGCGGTGTGTCAATTGGTCTTGAAGGCGGTAGATAGTACTCACCAGACCATCTTACGGTGTACTTCTACCGGCCTTTATAGGACTACGGGTGATGTCTGCGGACTCACCGCCTACGCTGGTCAACTGTGGGCCGGAGTCATCTGATGCTGTTTTAGTGGGACATTACATGAAGAAAAGGTTGGAGTGTTACACTGAACTGGGCTACGACCGTAGTGTGACACTTAGGGAAGTATGATGGAGTGGAATACTGAGATATGCTACAGGACCGTAGTGGAACACTGAGAAGAAAAGGGTGTCGTGTGACACTGAAGATGGCCTGGTTGTAGTGTACATTGAATAGTATCATGTGACTGGCCTCTCGAAAGACGCTACGTCGATAGTGAGTGTGTCGCAGAGATAAGGGTGTCAAGTGTGACACAGTCGAGAAAGGGTGTGGATGACGCAGAGAAAAGGGTGTCGTGTGACACGGAGAGCTGGAGTGTCTGGTGACACAGAAAAGGGTGTCAAGGGACACGGTTGTGAAGGAGCGTCATCACACAGAGAAAAGGGTGTCGAGTGACACGGTAGAGAAGGAGCGTCACAACTCGAATAAGTGTCGTGTGGGACACAGTGCGTCATTATAAGTGTCGTGTGGGACACAGAGCGTCATTATAAGTGTCGTGTGGGACACAGAGCGTCATTATAAGTGTTCGGGATACATATAAACACGTTAAAATCAATTAATCTTTAATATAATATAAAAATCAATCTTTGGTCTAGAGGTATTTAAAATATATATACATGTTACAATAATAAATTATTAGCATCTTAAAATAATAACATATATATCTATGCTAAAATAATAAAATGATGTCACCATCAGTGTAATACTTCAGTCACCATCAGTGTAATACTTCAGTCACCATCAGTGTAATACTTCAGTCACCATCAGTGTAATACTTCAGTCACCATCAGTGTAATACTTCAGTCACCATCAGTGTAATACTTCAGTCACCATCAGTGTAATACTTCAGTCACGATCAGTGTAATACTTCAGTCACCATCAGTGTAATACTTCAGTCACCATCAGTGTAATACTTCAGTCACCATCAGTTTAATATTTCAGTCACCATCAGTGTAATACTTCAGTCACCATCAGTGTAATATTTGTCACCATCTGTGTAATATTTTAGTCACCATCAGTGTAATATTTTAGTCACCATCATTGTAATATTTCAGTCACCATCATTGTAATATTTCAGTCACCATCATTGTAATATTTCAGTCACCATCATTGTAATATTTCAGTCACCATCATTGTAATATTTCAGTCACCATCATTGTAATATTTCAGTCACCATCAGTATAATATTTCAGTCACCATCTGTGTAATATTTGTCACCATCATTGTAATATTTCATTCACCACCAGTGTAATATTTGTCACCATCAGTGTAATATTTGTCACCATCTGTGTAATATTTGTCACCATCAGTGTAATATTTGTCACCATCAGTGTAATATTTGCCAGAATCAGTGTAATATTTGTCACCATCAGTGTAATATGTCACCTCTATTTAATATTTGTCACCACCAGTGTAATATTTGTCACCATCAGTGTAATATTTGTCACCATCAGTGTAATATTTGTCACCATCAGTGTAATATTTGTCACCACCAGTGTAATATTTGTCACCATCAGTGTAATATT